CTTGGAGAGCGCTGGCGTTTCACTTGAGTGTGCTGTAAGTGGAAAAAGGCAGTAAGAAACAAGAATATCCTTAAGAACATCCTTTAACAATCCTGCAGAGACAAATCTCCATCAGATACATTGACCACTCTCACAGGAGATGACCCTCGAAAATTTGCCAGATCTTAAGATGTAAGAAGAGATTTGAAACATGAGCTGTGCTCTGTTGCTACTCATGATTTGATGGAAAGTAAACAAGTGTTGTAAATGAATCAAACAAGCAGAGTTGCATCATTTCTAATATATTCACGTATTTTATCATTTAACATATGAGAATCAGATGAGTAACCTGCTCATCCTTGAAGCACTGACACGGTCTACAGGCTCCAGGCTTTCTCCTCCTCTCTGATAGCCGTGCAGAGACTCTCTTTGCTGTGAGGCTGTCTTGGACTTCAGCAGCACACTGCAAAATTTCATACACATCAGACAAAAAGCCTTTCTAACACAGCATATGTCAGTTTTAACAAATTTCCTGCAACTAAATTGGATTTTCTGGAAGACTGAACACCACAGTGTTTTCCTGCCACCTACAGTTTAAATACAAACAGCAGTTAAGTGAAACTTTAGCTAAATACATAATATCAGGTTATAGCATTTCAGATTCACTGGGTTGACTTGTTTAAAACAATAAGATCCAACTGAATGGAAAGGTTTAATTACAACAGATGCAGAAAAACATTTATGCATGCATTTGCATTTGTTTTGAATTAGACTACGTTTAGGCAACTTTGAGTGCTACCGATTGTGCTACCGAATGCACGTCGACTCACACTCTCAGGTAAATTGTAAATAAAGTAAATTGAGTAACTTGACCTTGAAAAGACTTCATTGGTTATATATTTACAATAAATACTGTTTTGTTTTTTAAGATATGAGAAAATCTTAAATCTAAACTTTCAGGCCTACAAAAATCTCAGAGGTGAAACACACTGAAAACAAATCAAATCTCACATTTTCCATGATGGAAGTCGCTTTCTTCTGGCTCTGGGAATTTTTAGTCCTCATCAGGATGAAAATATTCTTCAATAAAACTGATAGTTTGCTAGAAATCGCTGTGTCAAAGGTGTCAAAAAGGCTCTTGAGCATCAGAATGTTTGTTTGGGTTTAAATGATGAAGACAAAAATGAGGCATCTGCAGGGGAACCATGGCAACTGTGGAACCCTGGGTATCCATGCAGTGCACAGCTGTTTTTTGTAAACAACTTGGTGTTTTGACACATCTCACCTGTGTGACTGTCTCTCACAGACAGTCTGACTGCATCCTCACTCTCAGTGCCTGCTTTAACTGTGCTCTCAGTCTTTCTATGAACAGCTGACTGTATTTGTGCATGCGCTTGTAGAGCCTTAAAATAACCAGCCCAACAGAGTTTGGATTAAATAAGAAGAAAGCAAAAAGATACAGCCATGCAGAAATTAAAGGCTCTGTCTGCACATTAGCACACATTTTCAAATGGATTAAGTTTTAATAGAGTAGAAATCAACAACAAACACATCTCCAAACATCACAAAACTCCTCATCACATCTGTTGCACATCAAAAGCTCCTAATTTAACCTAGTGTCTTAGATTAGGGAGCGTTACCTAGAGGTTCATGTCACTGTACAGCATGTTTACCTTTGACTGCTCCATAATTCAGACTCTTCATTTTGTGCACATTGCACAGCAGCGGTATCTTCATTCATGAGTATATTTAGATCTGGTGACAAAGCTGCATCTTAGTGATAATTTCCCCTAGGGATCAATAAAGTATTCTGATTCTGATGGTAATAACTGGCTGCGGTTTCTTCATATTAGACAGTTTTGCTGTTATACACAGATCAATAAAGAGAAAACATTTGGAGGTCAGCATCTTCAGGATGTGGCCAGCTCCACAAAGCTGATCTCAGCACCTGAGATCAACTTTTTAAAGCACAACTTTTTTCGGGCCTCTTTATGTTTCAAAAGTGTGAAATGCACAGAGCTCCACTTCTATGTTGACCTTTGACTTACCGTCCAGATGTTTCAAAATCAGCATGTATAGATTTCTGTGTGTCACTTAAAGTTATTTTCTAAAATAGAGGTTAAGTATCTAATGAATATGTAATGTGTTCTCTGTTCATGCGATTGCAAATCTAATTGATCAGCTGCAAACATATTTCATAATCAGGCAATCCTGTTGAGCTGCTGGTTCAAAGTACAGATCCATCCATTCTCTTCCATTTATCCTTTTCAGGGTCGCAGGGGGCTTGAGCCTATCCCAGCTGTCTGAGGGCAAGAGTCAGGGTAAACCCTGGACAGGTCACCAGTCTGTCACAGGGCAAACACCATTTGCACACACATTCACACCTATGGGCAAGTTACCAATTAACTTAAACCCACTAACTGCATGTCTTTGGGCTGTGGGAGGAAGCCACAGTCCCCAGAGAGAACCCATGCAAACTCCACACAGAAATAGCCTGGGCTGATGATGGAACTGAACTCAGGACCTTCTTGCTGTGAGACTGAATTTCAATCATCGCTCCAATCATAGAATTGCTGTCTGGCTGGCTAATAATAATAATGGATTGGATTTATATAGCGCTTTTCAAGGCACTTTACAATGCCACTATTCATTCACTCTCACATTCTGGTGGAGGCAAGCTACAGTTGTAGCCACAGCTGCCCTGGGGTCAGACTGACAGAAGCGAGGCTGCCATATTGCGCCATTGGCCCCTCTGGCCAACAGGAGGGTAAAGTGTCTTGCCCAACGACACAACGACCAGGACAGAGGCGACCTTCCGGTTACAGATGCGCTTCCCAACACCCTGAGCCACGGATGGATGGGGATCCTTACATTTAATAACAGAAGCCATTAACATGAGCAGCTGCAGCCAAACAGCAGTGTATGATGTAAAAGCATTACATAGCACTAACAGCACTAAACAGTTAACTGTAAAACAGAAAGCGTAACTTTGAGCTGACTTTATTACCCAGCAGTCCATGTAATGTTCTTAGATTCACTGCACAGAATATGTGGTTCAGCCAAAAGCAATCATTCAACAACAGAACACATGTAGGCATCAATTTATTTATTTTTTTAAGTTTAACTGCATTGATTCCATGCTATTAGACAAAACTTTTACTTAATTACACGAACAATCAAGATTACTAGGATTATTATACTACTGTCGTTTAGTCTATGTATCAGTTCTCAGTCAATGGGAAAAAAACTAATCCAGTTCTGTCTTATCCCGTTGGTATAATACAGACATGAAACTTTGACAGTGAATGGTTTACATGTTAAGTGTCATGCACATGATGTAACATACTAAAGTGATACTTACTACATAAACATGATTACTGGTTCCACTAAAACACCATCATAACCACAAACCAATAATTACACAGGTTAATTTTGCTCTATGTGTAACAGACCTAAAAAACAAAG